AGTGCCTGCACAGCGTTAGCACACGCCTGGTGGAAACGTGGAAACCCCAGCGCCTGCACGGCGTTAGCACACGCCTGGTGGAAACGTGGAAACCCAGCCCATCAGTAAAAGAGACTGTTTCCTGTCTCGTGGATGAGACGTGTATTGATTTGGCTGCTCAGAGGCTTGGGCAATGCCTGCAGCCACTGGGAGAAATGATGATAGTGATGAAAACAGGAAGAGTCATAGTCACGGCCATCACCTCTGAGCACTTCCCTACCACGTGTGGGGTACTGTGCTGAGCACTTAAGAGGCTGTATTGTGTTTAATCCTTACAAAAACACCAGGTGGACATGAAGATGATTTGCTTGTACATTAGGAAAATGGGCTTCCCAGGCTCCTGAGTGACAAAACTCAGAGTCCAACCAGGCTTCCCTACTCCAAGGCCTGCAATGGCTATGCCAGTCGAACCGCCCCTCATGAAAAGGTTAGGGCCCCAAGCCCAGGAAAAGGCAGTGATGCAACCGTGGGCCCACAGGCGCCAGGGGAAGGGCGGCCACAGAGCCACACTCTGGCTGCACCCTCATGCTACTGGGGTATGTGCTGCCTTCCCAGAGACGAGGAGTAGCCTTATCACTAACCACATCATGTGACGGCGTGTGCAGGGGCACACGTGTATGTGTCTGTGTGCATGTGTATACACATATACACGTGTGTCTGTGCCTGTGTGTGTGCAAGTGTATGCTTGTGTGTGTGCATGTGTGTACATATTCATGTGTGCACGTGTGTGCCTGTGTACCTATGTGTGCATTTTTGTGTGTGCACATGTGCCCTAGGTGCATGGCGTGTTGTGCTGTGTGCATATATGCAAATGTGTGCATCTGTGTGCGTGTGCAGGAAGGTGAGAGAGGCTGTGGAGTGAGCCATAGCTGGCCGTTTCACCAGGACAGCACCCTGAGACTGCTGGCTGCATAGACACTGGCTCTGAGATGCTCAGAAGGCAATGGTGGCCCATCATCCCTGTAAAAATCTGCTTCTCCTCAAAAGACTCCTCCAGCCACTTCTCTGAGAGGCCAGGAGTGGGGAGTGGACACTGTTTCCATGGGGAGGTCGGCAGAGGTCAGGGCTTCTGCTGAGAGCAACACTGGGGTTAGCCACTCACAAGCCACTCAATGTGATTCGGAGCTCTTGGGGCACACTTGGAGACAGGCCATGTGTGGCCACATGGGGACAAGGCTGTGAGGAGGGGCAGAGAGAAGGCCCACGTGTGGCCGCATGGGGATGAGGCTGTGAGGAGGGAGGACAGTGCCCATCACCCTCCGCTGCTCCCGCTCAGCCCAACGTGGACGCCTGTGCTTATGTCTTTCAGGAATTCGCAGACTCCATATCCCAGCTGGTCACAGAGAAGTTCCGAGAGGTGACGATGGACCTCACACCCGTGCATGCCCGCCACAAAGCACTGGCAGGAATCGTCATGACCAAAGGTAGCCTCCTCTTTTTCTGTGGGCATTTTCATCTGTAAAAAAAGGAGCGTTAGCATCTACCTGATCTTGGAGGTTCTCTTTTCCATACCAAGCTGTGGCAAAGAAAGACGAAATACCACACAGAGATCAGAGGCCAGGGCGTATTGGCAGGAAGAGCCATCCTGACCAAGGTGCCGTGGTTAGGCTGCCAGGGCCCGGCTCTGCACAGGCATCCCCCATCTCTGGGAGGCCTGGCCAGCCCTTCTGGAGAACCTGAGTCTCCTGAGAGCCCTGAGTCCCTTTCGCTGTGGAGTCCCGCCCCAGAACACCCCTCCTTCCTGCCAAGATTCCCCATCACAAACTCATAGGGAAGGAATTCCACTCTGAGAAACAAGAGTGACCCAGACATGAGGGGGACAGCCTCCCCAGTCAGCCAGGATGGGGGGACAAACGAGGGCTAAACCTGAGCGGTCGGCACTGTGGAAAAGCCACCAGCCCATTCATAACAAGCCAGCTGGTTGTCTGAATTCAACCACTTCCCTCTCCAAAGTGTCGCACGAGTGTGTAGTGACCTCCCCATTCCACTCATGACTCACACACCTGAGAGCCATTACTGTGAAACAGCAACTGACTTTTGGGTTAAGTTTCACACACACGCTTGCTCTGCATGTGCCGGCACAATCTAAGGCAGAAAAAGACCATCAACCTGACACACATCATATTTACATTAAATAATGGTGGCTCACACCTGTAATCCCAGCACTTTGGGAGGCCGAGGTGGGCGGATCATGAGGTCAATAGTTCAAGACCAGCCTGACCAACATGGCGAAACCCTGTCTGTACGAAAAATACAAAACTTAGCTGCGTGTGGTGACGCACGCCTGTAGTCCCAGCTACTCCGGAGGCTGAGGCAGGAGAATCCCTTGAACCCAGGAGGCAAAGGTTGCAGTGAGCTGATATCCCGCCACTGCACTCCAGCCTGCGTGACACAGTGAGCCTGTCTCAAAAAAAAAAATCATCATCATAAAGAAGCAGATGACTGGCAAGGTTCTCAGCCATGCTGGGCCTGCAGGGTCCACTCCAGCCTTGCTGGGTGTGGGAACATTGGAACCCAGTGCCCAGCGCCATGTCTTGGCTGTGTGATCTTCCCAGTAGGGGCCTCCTGGTAAAATGAAAATGAAGCTGCTTCCTCACGACGTAACTGGGTGAGATCCAGACTATGAGATGCTTTGAAAGTCGAAGCTGCTTTATAAACGTATCATCCAGCATATAAATAAACCAGCCCCACCCTGGCCACCGGCACCTACCCCCTTTCAGACTCAGATGACACCTGCCTCTTGGTGGAATTAGGAATGTTCTAAATCGAGAGCTAAGCGTTTACCTCCACCAAGCTCATCCCTGCTGGAGGTGACCATTCCTTCATCCTGCAGCCTGCGGCCATCAGCTGGGCACCTGCATACACGGGCACTGCTCTGTAGGCACAGGGGGCTTCAGCAGTCTCATTGAGGAAGCAGTGAGTTTGGTGGGCCAAAAGCATCATCCTAGCACAGAATCCAGCCCTACCTGCACAGAGCTCTGTGACCCATGGGCAGCCGCTGAGCCTTCTGGGACTCCATTCTCTCACCTTTACAACAGGGATGACAGTAACGCCTGTCTGACCAGATTATTGTGAAGGTTAGATGTGTTCATGTATCTCCAGCTCTTCGAAAGTTACCTACCCCATAGTTAGTACCACGTGTTAGTTAATGATTGGTAATGGCACTGTTTTATTAAAAGGTACTTAGTGCCTGGCATACAAAGTTCTGGGGAAACAACAAAAGAGATCACATGCCTACCCTTGTGACTCTTAGATTCCAGTGGGGATTGGTTCATAAAGAACAATTTAAATCCAAAATAAAAAGAACTATAAAAGAATTATATACACACTGAGTTGTTGGTCCGCATAAACAAAACTTTGGTAAATTTTTAAGTGTTGAGTGTTACACAGATTTCTCCTACAGATTTCTGAACAACTCACTTTAATGTCTTGGTCTCAAAAGAAAAGGAGGGGGAGGGAAGCGGAGGGGGAGGGAAGCAGAGGGGGGAGGCATCAGCCACTCCGGCTTCCTTACTGTGCAGGGCGCTTCCAGTCCCAGAGGCGTCAGTGAGTACGACCTGGAACGTGATTTGTTTAGCATCTCTCGGCCCCGGAACTGTGATCGTCCAATAGCTTTCCATTTCTGGGGCGACAAATCCAGCGAGTTTTAGAAGCTGCTCTCAAACTTCACGTGGAAAAGAGTCATGTTTTACAGAGGCTTGCGGGGAAATAACACTTCTAGGTTGCCAGAGAATACCATGCTTTATGTGTAGGTGATTCATCTATATGGATTAAACTTATTTTATGAAAATGAGACTTTTCACTAATTAGTGACTTCTGAACATTAAAGAACTTGCCGAAAGTTACTTTCCTATTGTAAAGAGATAAACATTGGTTTTTAAAAATTAGAAATGTGCAAAATTACCAATACAAACACTTTCAGATACTCATTTACTTAAAGTCGATGTGCCATTTACTCTTAATTCTAGTTCAGTTATTCAAGCAAATGCCTAAGAAATTCTCAGAGTAATGTGTCTTGTTCTAGTTGCTGTATATGTCACGATCTTTTAAAATTAAACTTATTTTGAAATAAAACACAATTTGATTTGCCCCTCCAGTTTTAGGTGGAATGCCAACTCACTCACATTAATTAGCTCCTGAAAGCTCTGTTTATGAATCGGAGACCATTTCTTAGCCATTATGAGAAATATGATCACGGAAATATGTACTTGTGAACAGAATAGTTTTTATTTTGTAACAAAGTAATGCAGTCATATGGTAAAGATTCTAAAGGAGAGAACTTCTGAATGAAAAGCCACCTTCTCCCACTCACTTCCCTTCACTCAGAAGCCACCTCTAACCATTTCCAATTTTGTTCTTGTGACTCTAAGTACTATATTGCTTCTATATGTCTAGATTTTCAGTTTTAGATAACATCTATTGACTCATGCTATTAAAATTTGATACTTTTTCATTTTCCAAATTATTATGTTTGTGATGCACAATTATAGACAATAAATCTTTATTTCTTATTGCATCAAATTTAGAAGGTATGATTTCACTCCCTGTTCTGTGAGTTGAGGATGGCAGCCCTCAGCCCGTCCTCCACTACCCAGCTTCTCCCAGTTATACATGTTACATCTTTACACCACCATAGCTGGTATTTATGTCCTTTCTTATGTCCATAAGTAAGTCTTCTCTATTTTGTCTTTTGAGTGATTCTAAGAGCTGATGAGAGTGTTGTAGATATTCCCGGCACAGAGCCAAGCAGAGCCATGTTCAACCCTCCCAGCAGAGTTCCCCTCAGAAAGGGAGCCTGGCTACCTGGCATCCAGGCCACACAGATGCTGCCTGCTTCCACCCCAAGCTCCAAGTCATGCTGTTTAAGTTTGAATCGCGTGCGTTTCTAGATTTACATCGCTTTTGAAATACTGTGTGTGTGTTTTTTTTTTTTCTTTTCTGGAATGTCTTTTTTCTTTCTGAAAAAGAAAAAAGAAAGGAAGATTGTGCCTTTACCATACCTGCTAAGTCATGTGGCCTCTAGGGCAGCATCTCGCAGAGAGCACCTGCCTCCCTCCTGGAGAACTAACCCGCCAGGCCAACGAGGTGCATGCTCTAAAGACCCTGCACCCCGCTCTCCCGGTTGGACACTGTCTCTGAGATCATTGTCGTCTTCCCCGCATTTTCTCCATTCATAGAAAGCTGCTTCCAGAAGCATCATCTAAAAGGATGGTAGATCAACTTTGTGAATATTCCCACATCTCAAAATGCCTTGATTTGCTTCTCATCCATCTCAATAGGTTCTCTCAATAGGGTCATAGGGGGGGACTTCTAAACTTTCAATCATTTTCCCTTAGTATTTTGGAGGAATGTTTCCATTATCTTTTATCCAATATTTCTGATGAGAAACGTTGTACCTGCCTCACGTTTTCTCTGCAGTGACCAGCACTCACCCCTACCTGGGAGGGGGAAAGGCCTTTTTTTTTTAACTTGGATATAAATATATGTTTAGGTGTTAGCCATTCACCTTTCTTGACATATTTAAGCTATTTGTATACTTTTCTTTTTATCATGTGTTTGATGAATTCCTTCATTTACACACATTTTTGTTAAATTTTCAGTGCTCTGTGTTAATCTACTTTTACTTTTTAAATTTTAGTCTCTTCGTTCTTTTACTCAACGTTTTTGGAGATTTCTTCAGTTTATCCTGCAGCTCTTCAACTGCCTTTCCCTCCTAATTTTCGCAGCCTATTTTCATGATTTAAGTCTCTCCCTTACGCTCCATTCTTCCTCTCGAGGGAGCCTCTTGTTCTGCGGCCTTGACTTCTGCTCAACTCCTCTGAGGAGACGCCCTGGCCCGTGTCCTCCAGGCCAGGGGCAGTGGCTTTCTGTTTCGCGTGGTTTTTCTCCCGTGTCCTGCTGATGGCTCTCGTCTGAATATGCACCTTGTGAACAGGACGTTAGGCTGGTATCGTAGGCGCTGGCCTGGTGTCCTCTGTGGTGGCGCCCGGCTGGTCCTTCTCCCACAGGCTCCTGCCCAGATGGGAGGACGGCCTGGGGCCCATTTCCATCAGTGCAGATCTCCTTAGGATTCTCGGGCACCGGCCCACCCAGCGCCAATGAGGTCGGGTCCCAGCCGGCCTGTGCCCTCCTCAGGCGGTCCTTCCCTCCCTGTAGGTGGGACTCCATCTTTCATGCTGAGCGAATGCTTCCAGCCTCAGACATTCTCCTCAGGAAACAGAAGGCTTGGCCAACTGCTGCAGCCATTTATTAAAAATAATCCAGTGAGCCCCATGCCAGGAGCACCTGCGCTGCTGCCCCGCAGACCCGCAGGCACCGGGCCGGGGACCTCCCAGGCCGGATCTTGAGGACAGCCGCTCTCTCTGCTGCTTGGAGGCTTTGTTCTCATTCTCTCCACTCATCCTCCGAGCCCAGCTCACCTGCC